ATTCCAGGATCAATGGATGGTGGAATTCCGGGATCGCTGAACGATGGAATTCCAGGATCAATGGATGATGGAATTCTGGGATCATTGAATGATGGAATTCCAGGATCAATGGATGATGGAATTCCAAGATCATTGAACAATGGAATTCCAGGATTATTGAACAATGGAATTTTGGGATCACCAGATGATGGAATTTTGGGATCACTGCGCGATGAAATTCCACGATCATCGAACGATGGAATTCCAGCATCACCGAACAATGAAATTCCAGGATTATGGAACAATGGAACTCCAGGATTATTGATGGAATTTTGGGATCACCGCACGATGAAATTCCACGATCATTTCCCAAAAGAACTCCAGGATTATTGATGGAATTTTGGGATCACCGCACGATGGAATTCCAGGATGATTGATGGAATTTTGGGATCACCAAACGACGGAATTCCAGGATCACTGAACAATGGAATTTTGGGATCACTGGACAATAGAATTCCAGGATCATTTCCCGACAGAACTCCAGGATTATTGATGGAATTTTGGGATCACTGGACAATGGAATTCCAGGATCATTCCCCGACGGAACTCCAGGATGATTGATGGAATTCTGGGATCAACGAATGATGGAATTCCAGGATGATTGATGGAATTTTGGGATCACTGGACAATGGAAGACCAGGATCATTCCCCGACGGAATTCCAGGATGATTGATGGAATTCTGGGATCACCGAACGACGGAATTCCAGGATTATCGACGGAATTCTGGGATCACCGCATGATGGATTTCCAGGATGATCGATGGAATTTTGGGATCACCGCACGATGGAATTCCAGGATGATTGATGGAATTCTGGGATCACCGAATGACGGAATTCCAGGATTATCGACGGAATTCTGGGATCACCGCACGACGGAACTCCAGGAAGATCGGCGGAATTTTGGCATCACCGCACGATGGAATTCCAGGATGATTGATGGAATTTTGGCGTCACCGCACGCCGGAACTCCAGGAAGATAGGCGGAATTTTGGCATCACCGCACGATGGAACTCCAGGATGATCAACGGAATTTCGGCATCACCGCACGACGGAATTTTGGGATCACCGCACGACGGAACTCCAGGATGATCGACGGAATTCCGGCGATCACCGCACGCCGGAACTCCAGGACGATCGACAGAATTTCGGCATCACCGCACGATGGAATTCCAGGATGATTGATGGAATTTTGGCGTCACCGCACGACGGAATTCCGGCGATCACCGCACGCCGGAACTCCAGGACGATCGTCGGAATTCCGGCATCACCACACGATGGAATTCCAGGATGATCGATGGAATTTTGGCATCACCACACGATGGAATTCCAGGATGATCGATGGAATTTTGGCATCACCGTACGACGGAACTCCAGGATGATTGACGGAATTTTGGCATCACCGCACGACGGAATTTTGGGATCACCGCACGACGGAACTCCAGGATGATCGACGGAATTTTGGCATTACCGCACGCCGGAACTCCAGGATGATCGACGGAATTTCGGCATCACCGCACGATGGAATTCCAGGATGATTGATGGAATTTTGGCGTCACCGCACGACGGAATTCCGGCGATCACTGCACGCCGGAACTCCAGGACGATCGTCGGAATCCCGGCATCACCGCACGATGGAGATCTCCCCCAGCTCCACCCAGAACCAAGGCCGCAGGCGCTCCCCGCCGAAGGCGGCGGCCGGGAAGGCGAAGAGCGGCGCGGCGCCGCGGCCGTCGCCGTCGAAGAACGCCACGCGCCCGCCCTCGTA